GTAAAAAAGCGTTTGGAGCCAAAGGCTATGAAGGTGTGAAAGTACATAATTGTAGTGCTTCCCACTACTGGTCCTTAATTCCATCTCCTCCATCATTGTGTCTCCTGTTCACTGGGCCCTCTGCCATCCAATTTCCCTCTATTCCAGCCCCTGGCCTGCTGCCATCCACCATTCCCTCCATCTCTCCACCTCTGTCTCCTCCCATTCATATCCCAGTCCTCCTTCCTCCTCTTCCCAAATTGTATCCTCCATCCCACTACTTCCATTGCCCGAGCCCTCACACTCTGGCACTTGTCTAAGGTGGTCTTGCCTAGTTGCAACCCAACTCTTTCTGATAAAGTCTCCTAAAGCCAGTAGCCCAGCCTTAGATCCAAGCACATCTGGGAGGTGAAAGTGTTGAGCCACTGATCTGAGAAGGTGTCTATGCTGTTGGTATCTGCTGCAGTATAGGATCAGGTGTTCTGGTGTCTGTGGTGGTGGTGTGCTCTTAGTACAACTGCATCTGTCACTAACATTCTCATCCAATCTGCTAAGATAGGAATTGAAGTAGCCAGGCCCAAGTCTAAGTTGTGTGACAGTTGCAAGTTGTGGTCTGTGGAGCTGAAAGAAGTGTAGTGGAGGATGCAGGGAAGGTAGGTGGAAGTGGATAGACCTATAATATCTGCCCTGTTTAGCTGGTTGTGGCTGTGTCCAGTACTGGTGCCAGGCTTTAAGGGCAGACTGCTTGATCTGTGTCTGCAATTTGGTCAGTGAGAGATAACTGTCTATATCAGGTTGGGGATACTCAGCTGCTTGTTTTGCAAGTCTGTCAGCTTCATCATTACCTTGAATACCAGTGTGACTTGGTACCCAATGGAGATGAAGCTGTAAGTCAAGGTCAGAGGACAGAAGGTCCTTTGTAAGTTGTTGAATCTGTTGAGAAATTTGTTGTCCAGGGTGGGGAGAGAGTCTGTGAGAGTTGCTGATTGCTGCTTGGTTGTCTGTGAAAACCCAGATGTGCTTGAAGGATAGGCTGGACCTGCTGGCTTCTGTGAGTGCTCTGGCAATACCTACCAATTCCCCATGATACACCTTCATCCCACATCCTAATCCAACTCTCCATCTTCCAACAATCCCACCACCATGCATCATTACCACTCCTGCTCCTACTCCTCCATTTTGCAGTGCACTTCCATCTGTGTAGAGAACAAGGTTTTCTGAATCGTCGAGGGAGTTGAGGAGAGTAATATGACTTTTGGCTGCAGTGTCTTTGTCTTCCTGGCTGATAGTGATGTCAAATCTGGAGGTGGTGTCAGGCAGGTTGGTATCCCAGGGTGGTTGCAGGTTTGGGTAACACTGTTCAACATCTTTTCCTACAGGCAGGAATGAACTTAGTGTATTTAATACTCTTATTAGGTGGGTAGGGAACTTAGATTGCTCAGAATCAGTTTTCCTCCAATCAGCCTGCATCTTGCCATATGGCTCATGCTGAGGATTCCACAAGTATGTTCTGTTATGTTGCTTGTAGGTAGAAGTCCAAGATATGTCACTCTCAGAGGAGGAGGAGCATGGTCTGTCTAGTGGAATGGATGAGGAAAGGGTGCTTGGGAATGAGCTGGGTGTTCTCTGCCTGATAGGATGGTCTGAATGCATCTGTAAAACTCGGTAAGCATATCTCTTACACTGTCTGTCAAATCTCCAAGGAATGGGAAGGGTGGCTGCTTCAATCTCCATTGCAGCAGTTGGTGAAGTTCTGAAAGCCCCCAGGATTCGTCTATTTGCCTCTGCCTGCAACTTCTGTAACTTGTTAGCAAGACCAATTTGACCTTTCCACCAGACCTCTGCTCCAGAGTCAGCTACTGGAGTAATGCAGGTATAGTAGAGTTGCCTCATTGCTGGTGCTGAAAGGCCCCATTCTGAGTTGGATAATCTAGAAATCATGTTAAGTGCCCTAGTTGCTGCAGCTGTCTTCTGTTTCACATGGTAGTTAAACAAAAGCTTCCTGTCAAGCCAAACAAACTCCTAGCCATCTAAGATGCTGAGAAGGGAAGACAACAGTGCCATGAGGAAGAATGACAGGGGAGTTGGTAGTAAGGTCCCTTGTTTTGTTGTGAAAGTGCATGAGTTCTGTCTTGGGATCATCAAATACTATTACATTGTCAGATGCCCAACTCCGGGCCCTTCTGTCTACTAACTCCAATGCCTTGGAGTTAGCCTGCTCAGAGGGGCCGGTGACTATGAAAGCAATGTCATCAATAAAGGAGGGGGATCTTAGCTGTGGAGTCAAAACTCCTGGTTCGAAGTCTTTGAACAGGTTTGTTAAGTAGAATAGGAAGAGAATGGGTGAAATGGGAGAGCCTTGAGGAATGCCTGTGTTGACTGGCAGGAGAGGTTGTCTTTGTCCATCAAAAGCTAACCCCAGTTTCCTGTTGGAGAGGAAGCTGTCTGTGCAGGTAAGAACTGGTGGAGGAAATCCTAAAGACTGCAGCCCCAAGAGTAGTTGTGTTTTACTAACATGGTCAAATGCACCTTTAACATCAACAAAGAGGGCAGAAAGGACTTTACCATTCAACTTAGCCTGCTGAATATCATGTGTTAATGCCATCACTGTATCCAGTGCACTTCTTCCTTTCCTTCCTCCCATTTGCTCTGAGTGACGAAGGCCTTTAGTTTCTGCAATGTAAGCTAGTCTGTTGGCCATTATCTTTTCTGAAATCTTTCCTAAGCAGTTTAGCAGAGAGACAGGTCTATAAGCTTTGGGGGTAGTGTAGTCTGCTTTGTTAGGTTTCCTGATTATAGCTCCAGTTGCCTCTCTCCAGCATTGGGGATGATACCCTGTCTTTAGTACAGTTTGAAATAACTTGACAAGAGGGGTAGGAATTGCATGATACACTTGCCTCAGACACAGAAAGTTAATAACATCAGGTCCTGGAGCTTTCTGAGGTGCAAATTTGCAGATTGCATCTTTCACCTCCTTGTCAGTAATATCATACCAGGGAAAGCACTTATCTATTTCTGTATCCTCAGGGTTGAAAGTTGTTTTGCTTGCAGGTGGATTAGGGAACATGGCTTCTCTGAACATCATGCACTTACTATCAAAGTCAGTAGCATACTGTTGGTCAAAAGAGAGGGGAGGGGTTTTGAGGAACTTAGTTGGTCTAGTATACTTAACTGCAGTAAAGATATCTTGACCCCTAGCAGAGTTGAGGAAACCCTTCCAGCAGTTAGATTTGCTGTCTCTGATTTTCCTAAAGTACCTGTTCCTAGATCTTTTGTAGTCAGTGTAGTCAGTCTCAAGTCTGGAGTGTTTCCATATTCTGCAGCATTTGGCCATCTCAGTCCTCATACTAGCAAGTTCCTCAGTCCACCACCTCTTTGATCTAGAGCAAGGTTTGCTAAGAGGAACATGCAGAGAGAGAGACTGGTGAATTGAGTCTGTGAGAATACATGCAGCCTGGTCTAAGGATTCAGCTGTACCATTATCAAGCAGGAGAGTAAATGTAGAGGAAGACTTAGCCATTAATTCCTGCAGTGTCTTGTGAAAAGATTTCCAATCTGCTGCCTTCCAGTTGAATTTGTTGGTCATAGGACTTGGAACTAAGCAGTTAGCATCCAATACTAGGGATAATCTTACCACCTCATGGTCACTTCCAGTATGTGCATCCTGATCCACAGCCCAGTCAACTACCCTCTGAACAATATCAGGAGTGACTAGTGTTAAGCCCAATATTGAAGTCCCATTTCCTTGTCTGTAGTTGTAGGTAGGAGTATCAGGGTAGTTGACTAGATCACACCTGTTAGCTATAAACCAGTCCACTAGAGAGTCACCTCTGATTTGCTGTTGAACTTCAGAATTCCACCAGGGATGATGGGCATTGAAGTCACCACAAAGGATTGAGGATGGTGGTAGCTGAATGTACTGTAAAGTTCTGTCCATAGTATAGACTGGTCTAGAGTGTGGTGTTAGTTTTCTTCTTCCATTATAAATATTCCAAAGGGTAAACTTCTCTGTTCCAGCTAGAATCTGGAGTGGAAGGATATCACCATCAAGGTGAGGAAGAAGGTCAGCTCTATAAGAACAAAAGATATCTTGTCTGGATTTGCCAATGTAGGCAGCAGTTCTAGGTTTTTCACCATCAGCAGTATCAGGTAGAATAGAAACAAAGGAGGGGTGAGAGTAAGGAGTGCCATCAGATGCCAGCCAGGGCTCTTGAATCAAAACAAGATCTGCTTTGCCATTAGTGTAGTGAAGGAGAGAGGTCAGAACTTCATACATCTTTGCACAATTGTGCTGGATAATAGAGATTGGCTTGCCTCTCATAAGGAATGAGAGGGGTTGTCAGCAGCAGCAGGTTCAGGTTTCTTGACAATATTCCTATAAACCTCACACCTTAAGTCAGTAGATTTGTGAGATCCCTCACAGTTAGCACACTTGAACTGGGTATGAGAACACTCCTTGTTAGCCTGACAGGTAGAGCATTGGTGTAGCCTAGTGGGGTGAGTTCCACCACAGAGTTGACACCTAGGATCCTGCCTGCAGACTTTCTGATGATGCCCAAACTTCTGATAGTTTCTGCATTGTGAGGTGGGTCTGCTGTCCATGAACTCTGAAGTTCTTACAGAAGTTCCTGCAATCACAAGTCTATTTCTCAGTGCATGCTTCAATTCTCTAGCAGTTTTAAAGGAAAGAACTAGGGAGGAGTGTAACTTTCCTGCTCTGGCCTCTGCTCTGGTCAGCCATCTGGGTGGAGCAGCCAGGTGAATATCCTGGTTGTAGGTCTCAATATCCTCTCTGAAGGCTTCCATTTCCTTCTCCTCACTGTCTGCCACAATCATGTCAGTAGAAACAGAGTGTGCAACCAACTTGTACCATTTCTCCCTGACAACCACTTCCTGTAATCCAGGGACCAGATGGCTCCAGACAGTTTCCTGCTCCTTCAACTCAGCTGCAGTGTTGCCAGGCTTCACTTCAATAACAATGTTGTTATTAACAGATAGCCTGACCAGAACCACAGTAATGTTCAAGTCAGCCTTCTGTAAGGCTTGATTCATAGCTTCTCTGATCTGAAGTTGGTTGAACTTGGTAGGAGGGTGGGTGGATTTGAGGATCAGGGTTCTCTCAGGCTCAGGCACAAGATCAGGGGATCTTTTAGGAGGCTTAGACTTAGTGACAGAGGTAGAGGTGACTGATTGATTCTGTTTAACAATGTTAGCCCAGGTCTTAGTAGAGGAGGAATAAGGGGGATTGGGGGTAGCAGAGGTGGTGGTAAGCTTGTCCAAGGTGGTCAAGATTGACTCCAAAGTCTTTTGCTGCTTGTTTAGTCTTACTTCAATTTCAGCTGGGATTGGGGAATGACTCTCAGAGTGGTTATTGTTAGGATAGCTGCTGATGTTAGTAATAAGTTGGGAGAGAAACTCCTGTTCAGGAGGGGTATAGTGCATCTTATTGGCCTTAATTTCACCAACCAGCTCATGTAAGAACTGTTCAAAGATGGGATACTGAGGCCTCTGAGCGGAGGTAGGAGGAGGAAAGGAATAAGTGTAGTCCATATCTGGAGACAAGGAACTAGATGCAGGTGGTCTTTGGGCAGGAGTAGGCAGGACAGGAGTTACACCAAAACCTTGTTGTAGCTTACTAGAAGCAGGGGTAGGTGAAGGGCTAATAGGTCTTCTCTTATGTCCCCTTTTAAGAGCAGGAGGAGAGTGTTGGTGGGGAAGGGTATTAAGACGTGTCTGAGGATTAGAGCCAAGGGCAGAGGGTAAAGGACTACTACCATTCAGTGGAACTGTAATAGAGGTAGTCCTGTAGTGGGTTGGGTGAACAGGCATAATAGGCCCAAAAATGCGAAAATTGCTAAGTCCTTTCTGCAGTGGACCACAGTAGGGAGGGTGTATTGTGGGGTAGAGTCCAGGGGTGGTAGGGGGCAAGTGGCAACCAGAGGAAAATCAAAACAAGAGGGAGGAACAAGGAAAGAAAACTAAGCAGAGGATGTGAAAGAAAAGATGCTCAGCTAAAAATTGAACAGGTACCTCTGCTAGCTAAGAACAGTAGGCTGTCCAAATTTGAGAGCAGAAGCTCTCAAACTGACTGAGTTCTGTGTTGAAGGGGGCCAATTCAGGGGTAAAAAGAGGGGTAAAATCCGGATTTAGTGCCAAGATGGAGGTAAAAGGAGGAATAAAGTTCTGAAAATTGGTGAAAAGGTTAAAAGTGGTTTATTAAACAAGAATCGTTGTGCAGGAAAAAGGAGGAGTGTTGGTTGTTGAGAAAATTTATGGGGGGGGTCTTGGTTGCTGTGGTTTGTTTGGTCCCCAGGTTTGCGTGGCAGGAGGTGGGGGTAGGGTGGATTGGTGGGTAGTAGAGGGTTGTTGTAGGAGTTGTTGAGATTGCAACTCCGCAACTTTGTTGGTAGGATTGGCAACCTGTGCTTGGAGGTCCTGAATGTCTTTGATATGGCGATCTTGAACAACCATCAGGTGCTGCTGCATAGCTTGGACAATCTCGTCCATCTGGTTGTGGGCTTTGTTGACTATGTAAAGCCTTCTGGTGATCGTTTCAATGGTGGGGGGTTGTCCTTGAAGCAGGGTGAAGGTATTTTCGTCTGATTCCACCACAGAAGATCCAGAAGCACCAACTATCTGGACTGGGGATGGGGTGTCCGCCATCTCATCTTCCTCCATGGGGGTGTCAGTAGGCCAGGTGAGGTGTCGGTAGGGTATGTAGGGTTGAAAAGGTCTTGCATGGGGGTTTGAGGCCCCTTTGCCTCTGCCTTTGCCTTTAGGGGGCATCAGAGGAGTGGAGAGTGTGACTCAGTTGATAAAGGTGATAGAAAACAAATAATAAAGGATGATTTGTTGATAAAAAGTCTTTAAGAGAGGCAGGGGAAGTGGTGAGAGTTGCCTGTCAGCCAATGAGGTGAAAGCTGGGCGAAAAATTTGGTCTGATTTTTTCTTTCGCTGTGGTTGTAATGGCAACTGAGTCGTTGGGTGCCAGGGTTGAAAGCTTCAACCTCTGCCTG